GCTTAGAGGATAAAGGGGTCTCGAGTAACTATATTAGGGTGATTAAAGACATGTATGAGGGAGATAAGACTCGGATTAGGACAGTAGGAGGCANCCCTCCCCAGACCCCACTTGTGGGATTATACTGGGTCGTTGTTGTTGTTGTTGTTGTTGTATAGGCAATACTTAGTTAAGAATATGTTTTAGACATTAACACTGTTACTGAACTTTCTAATACTTTTTAGAGATTTAGTTGTATTTGCATAATATTCATGAAATAATTTAAGTGAAGTAGTAAAGATCAAATATATTTGGTTGACGCCAAGTTGTTTAGGATTAAGAATGTAATATTTGTTGAAGCAGTTATGAATTATTGAAAAACTTAAATTGAGTATTCTTTCAATTGAATAGTACTTTTAAATTTTAAATTTGTTAGCAGCAATCCATATGGAGTATATAAAAGTTAATTAAAGGGAATAGACAATGTCAAAAGTGGAAGGTGGTGTTAGAATAGCCCATTGGAATAGTGGCCCCTGGTTTTTCATTTCCATTCACCTCTACTAATTATGGAGCTTTTCTTTCAGCCACATCCCAATCCACTACTCCTCCATTTATATACCCCTCCCCTCTCCCACCATTTTTTTAACTCATCTACTATCATTCACATCACAGTATAGTAGGGGATGCAAAATTTCACTTCTCTGTTTTTTTACCACTCAACAACTCCAACATGTAATATATACTACGTATATACTGCTTATATAAAACAGTAAAATTTTGTTGCTCTTCTTTACATGAGTAACGTAACGCCTTTATTGGATATATATACCCCAGATCGTAATTCGTCTTGAATATATATTTGAATTTGATTAATACTTGGGTGAATGGGGACTGAGAAAAATATAAGCGATATGAAAGATAAGGAGTACAATAAGTCGAAGAAGAGGCGTCGGAGGCGGAGGCGGAGGGAAGTGTCAAGGGTTCAGAAACTCTATGAAACTTGCAAACAAATTTTTGCTAATTGCGGACCCGGCGTTGTGCCGTCCCCGGAAAATGTTGAACGTGTCAAGGCAGTTTTGGGTATGTTGTTATTCTAGTTGCTTTTACTACATTTTTCTTGTTTTATGCATTCATTGTTTTGGTTAGATTCCTGAGATTTTAATGTTATACTACTATTGGTATTTTGGGGGAACTAATTGTTAATTTATATAAAATGATGCCATAACAATTCTCTAAGTGTACTTGTTTTAAGGTACAACCGTACAAGGTGCAACTTTTGAAAACGGGGCACTTAATCTGGCATTGATAAAATTGATCATGCATTGCCATTTTGAATTCGTTCATTTTAAAGTAAATAATGAAACTCGTAACTATTTCAGTGTTGCACTATCACTATACTATATATTTATTATTTAATGCTTACCGTGATAGCTTTTATCTTATTAAATCTTATTAAAGAGTTTAAATTTAGCAAAAAGAGTTACATTAATGATGAGTTTGTTAGTATATTTTATCACTTTTAGCACGACAGGATCCAGTTGTCTTGTCATTTTTCTTGCTTTTCCTCTCCCATTACGAAAATGCCTTATAGATTTTGGATAAAGCTGCTTCCTTTACTGTTCTTTAAAGCTAAATTTGTCTGCAATTTTGGTGTAAGAAATATTTATCTTGTTGGTTAAAAAAGGAGCAACCTTTTCTGGAATTGGGACCCAAATAACTGCGGCTTTGTTCCCTTTCTTTCTTTCAAACTTTTTCCTTTTTGCTTTGCTTATGAATGTCCAGGATTTGAGGATGACACTGTAACAATTGCTCCATTTTCCTTTGTACAGATAACATGACTGAAGCAGATGTTGGCTTGATGCCGAATATGCCCTATTTCAAATCTACACTATCTGATGGACCTCCTAAAATAATGTACCTGCATCTCCATGAATGTGACAAATTCTCGGTATGTAGCCAAGGTCGAGTTTTCATAAGTTTACTATTTCACTCAAAAGATTTAACATATATATACACACTTGAATTTTACACTACTATTGTTGTCTAATCAGCTGTTTGCTTCATTTTTTTTAGGTCACTAACCTTACTTATTATTAACCGTTGTTTATAGTTATCTTTTCCGGTGACCTTTGTTTATGGTTATCTTTAATTTAGGTGACCTAATAGGTTAAAATTCTTCTATATTGTCAGTATATAAAAGTTAAATGCAACTTTTTAATGAAAAGAATTTTATCTTTCACTTCTCCCTCTTCATTGAATTCATAGTTTGTTTCTTTTTTGGTAGATCGGTATCTTTTGCTTGCCACCATCAGCAGTCATTCCTCTTCATAACCATCCTGGAATGACAGTTTTCAGCAAGCTTCTCTTTGGTAAAATGCACATCAAATCTTATGATTGGGTGGATAATCTCCTTCCCCATCAATCTACTCCAAGTGCCAATATATCTGACAGTAAGTTCGATTGAGATTGCTTATCTTGTTAATTTAATCTTTGAAAATGGCAAGTTGCGTGGATTCCTTTGCTTTCCCTTAAAAAGTTAGTCCATCCGTTTAAAAAATATTGGTCTAGTTTGACTTGACACAAATTTTAATAAAAAAGGGAAACTTTTGAGATATATGATCTTAAATAACACATAACATTTGTGTCGTTGTAAAACTTTTGAAATTTGTAGTGTTAAACCTGTCATAACATTTGTGTGGCTGTGAGCACTTCCTATTAATGAAATATTGAAAGGTGCAAATCTTTTTTATACGAAATAATAAAGAAATAGTGTCAATATTTTTTAAACGGAGGGAGCAATATAAATTCAGATTTGAGAGTGAAAGTAGTTATGAATGCAACTATATATTAATATGATTATCTTACGCCGCACATTTAGAAAATACAGTAGTAGAAATCTTGACTCCCAAATCCATTATTGAGATAACTCGAGTTGGGATACTATAACAAGACCTTTCTAGTTCACTCAGAAAACATGGTTGTCCGCTGATGAACTCACTCTCCTTGCCTTAGAATTTAAAGGAGAGTATGAAAAAAAAAAATCCCATAAAGAAAATCTTTGGCTGGATAGTGACATGTACGAGTTGTCTTCCAGCACATATGAATTCAAGATTTAGAGTTGTGGGTTCAATCTTGTATGTATACGTTTTAAACTTTTTCCGCATAGGATATCTAGCTCAAGCTGAATGATTCTGTTGAACACACAGAATTTGCCCCTCTATCCTCCTCCTGTACGAAGTCTTACGTGTGAGCACCTAATTTTTGACAATATTTAATTTTTTGTCACTTCTTCTATGTAAATATTTTAGGGGTTTTAACCTACAATTTTTAGCTTTGTTACACTTTTTATTATAGGGTAGAAATACAAAATTTTAAAAGGTGAATTATTACTATTACTATTATTTTATTTTTAAAATAATAATAAAAAATCCATTTTTTTTTAATTTTCGGGTGAGATATAAAAAATAAGAAAAAGGGAAGTATAGAATAAACAAAATAAAAGTAAAAGTGGGTGGAATTCTCTTTTAAAAAGCAAAAGAAAGTTGATTGTTTTTTTAAGAAAAGTAAAATAAGTGGAATCCTCTTTTAAAAGTAAAAAAAAAGTGAGATTTTAAATAAGATAAAAGTAATTAAAGTTTGGAATTTAAAAAATAAAAGTAAATAAAGGTGAGATTTCTTTTTATAAAAAATAAAAGCAAATTATAAGTGGGATTTCTTTTAATTAAAAAATAAAAAAATATTTTTAAAAAATAAAAAAAATCTGAAAATTTTTGAAAATTTTGCTATAAATAGAAGAGAAAATCTGATAAGAAAAGAGAGAAAGGAGAGAAAAGAGAGGGGAGAATTGAGAGAAACAAATTTTTTCTTCTCCTATGCTACGACTCTTCCTCTTTCTTTTGAAAATTTCCAGCAATTCAACACCTCAAAACCCAACAAAAATACTTCAAAACATCCCCTTTTACACGCCAAAGAGTGGTGTTAACAGTCGAGGTCGAGGATTCCGTTGGAGCTCTGTTCACCGGCTTTGATGATCATCTTTGCTTATGCTTGTTCGGCGTTCGTCTGAGTTATTGTACATATTCTTGGAGACTCTTTTAATTGGAAATCTTGCATTAAAAGGTTTATTCTTCCCTCTCTCTTTTTTTATCGTATTTTATGTTTTTTTATTTATTTATCTTTAAACTTTATAAATAATAATGTAAATCAATCCTTAAATGTTATATGTTTAATCATGTTTCTGAAAATATAGTATTTAAACTTGCTAAAAGTTTGGAAGATTTGGACACTAATAAGTTTAGGCTTCAATTGTTGGGATGTAGGGTATTGGTATATGATAATTTATTTATTCAAATATCTAAAATCATACACTTTTTCCACAAACAATTCCATAACTTTTGGCCTTACAATAATCTTAAAATTAGTTTAGGAAAATACTTCAAGTGCGCTAGTTTATTTAGGTGCGCTTTAAATAATTAAATATCATGGCTATGTGTATGGTCTCCGTGGCATAATTGTGATATGTAACAAAATAAGTATTAGAACGCGTAACTTATTTCAAGATAACTTTTTTTTCATAATTTTAATCAAGCAATAAAGCGGACATAGGTAAAAGATGAGAACCAATAAAACACAAGTTATTCAAAAAATAGTATAAGCCAAATATAGCCAATAAAGCGACCGTGCTAGAACCACGGGATTCGGGGAATGTCTTACACCTTCTCCCCGGTCAACAAATTCTTTACCCGGACTTTGTTTTCGCAGATCAATAATAAAAGAGTCAAACTTTCCTTTGAATAGGGATCAAATAAAAGGTGACTTGGAACACCCAAAAATCAATTCCAAGTGGCGACTCTGAATAACAAAATAATCCCTATTTCAAATTTGTCACTTTAATTGGAAAAAACTCTTTAACCCACAATCCATAACATACATTATCTTTTGGAGGGGTAGAAAAGGGGTATGACATTAAGTATAACAAGAATCACTCTTTATCAGATGATACAAGGGATTGGACTGGACTACGTCTTGCAAAATTGAAAAAGAATTCCGAGTTTACAGCTCCTTGCAAAACATCAATCCTCTATCCAGCTGATGGAGGAAATATGCACTGCTTCACAGCAAGGACAGCTTGCGCGGTGCTGGACGTGCTTGGGCCACCTTATTGCGATCCTGAAGGTCGTCATTGTCAATACTACTATGACTTCCCATTTCCCAATTTCTCAGGTATAACGCACCGTACATTTATTGAAAAAAAATCGAGTTCAGTTGATTCCTTGGAAGGTTATTGCTTTTTTTTTTTTTTGATTGATTATTCGACATTTGAAATCTATTGGTCCTAACTAATTTAGATTTGCGGCGTAGAATAGGGGATTTTATTACTCTTTATCAAAGATGATTTCATTTTTAGAGATACCTATGGTTATATAATGGCAAAAAACCCTTCATCATTCCACCTGACCCTTATGCTTATTATTTTCTTTCTAAGTATTCTCAAAAGTGGTACTTTGATTTGATTCTTAAAGATATACTCCTATTTGATTCTTAAAGATATACTCCTATGACATACATAAACTATATTTCAAGAAATTGTTGGCAGTGAGCAAACAGTTTCCTAAACAAGTAGACGATAAAATACTGCCAACTTGGCCAGCTGACAGAATGATTATTATATTCTGTATTCCTTTTTCTCCAAAGTTTACCCATAATGTTAATTGATTTGATTGATTGTACTTGAAATGACATTCTAAATACGGAAATATTTGTGCCTCCGACATTATCCATCCACATGGGAGTCCTAATACTAGGTTTCTTGTTTTTCTGTCTAATTTATTTTTCGTCGTTGATATGTTGAAAGTACACAGTAGATGGCTTGTCAGTGCCCGAGGAACAGCAAAATAAATATGCGTGGCTCAAAGAGGGGGAGAAACCTGAGGACTTCACTGTAGATGGAGCATTGTACAGTGGACCAGATATTATAGTAAACTGAAAGAATTCCTTGAAATTCACAATTGAAGCAGAAAGAAAACTTTTCTCCGCCCCCACCCTCTCTTTCCTTTTTACTTTTGAGTCCCTTTTTTAACTCTATTCAGATTTCAATGGAGAATAGTCAAAAGGGACAAAACTAGGAGGGAGGGTTTTTTCTCTTTGTTCCTGCTATAGTTCATGTACATATATAGTCAGATCATAACAAGAAAGGATAGATGCGCCGAAAAGTAACGTTTTTCCTTTCGTTTTGCAAGTCTTAAGAAAGTAGGTAGATCTGTACACTAAGTTTCAGTTATACATAAGTCTGCATAAGGATCAGATTACATTAGGTCTAATGTATGCACTTATGTAGCTTTATGTTGTGTTGTATTTGTATGCGCTGTGTAGCTTTACATTGCATTTTTACTTAACACTGTTTTACGGCTTAAATTCACGACTTTTTGGTCACATGATGACAAGATCTCGCGTTGTGACAAAGTTCTCTTTTTGTTTTTCAAATTATTAATCTCATTTTGTTTTATTTGGATTATGATAAGCTTTACCCACCTTAAAACTAGGCAGCAGATTTAGGTGTACTGTTTAAGATGATTGTAAAGGTCATTAGATATATAATTGACAAAATTTATATATTAATATAAAGGAGCGCATTGAGGAAGGTGATGTGTTTCTCTTATAGAGTCGGGTTCCTATTTATTTTTTTTCTTAATTTTTTGCCTTCTTTGACTTATGTATTTATTTATATTACAGATTAAAAAATTATTCTAAATGCATCAAAGGGGAGATGTTAAACCGGCTAAGACGTTAAGTCTTAGGAATTCTTAAAAAAATTTAACCGTCTATATACATTAAAAGAGGAGGCGTTAATAAACGACCGTTTTATGAAAAAAAAAAAAGAAGTTCAGTTTCTGCTTACTTGGTTCTAAGAATGTGTAGTTACACAAAATATATAGACCCAATTTTGTAACCATGAAAGAGAATGGATACGTAGCAGCTTGACTGCTTCTAACTGATGTTCGAGTAGTTTTTTTGGTTTTGTGCTTTTTTCCTTTTTGGGTCTCATTATTCTGTGAGTATTTTCTTTTCACATGATATCGGTATTTTGTTTTCTTCTCCAGGTACTGGGTTTGGCTTCTACCAAATATGCATTTATATGTTATTCTTTGGTGATCTATCTACGTACTTCATAGTCAATAACAGACTGCATATATCCACATAAATTCTAATATTCTTGTATTACCTTTGTTGTGGAAAAAATATATTCTTATGATTTATATCCCATGGAAATGAAAAAAAAGGTTAAAACAACATTCCATCAAAACAATAAAAGAAAATGCATGATGTGCACTTCGTAAGTTTGGTAGTAAAAAGGTTATGATTTATACATTTCATAAACAACTTTTAGTACATCTTATTTGAAAATTATGTCGAAATGCGTAGATAAAATATTATTGTTAGGATTTGCTTCTTTTATGAGATTTACCGGGTCCTTACATATTTTGCAGAAAGAAAGAAAACAAAATAGAAAATGAAAGAGAAAAAAGAAAGCAGAAGTTAGAGAAAAGGTAAGACGTAAGATGGAAGATGCCAATTGATTACGTCATTAACGGGTTTTTTGGTGTCTGAAGTCAAAACTTTATTTCCCCATTTTCGTCTTCTTTCAATTTTATTTCTTTCTTCTCTTTTTAACAAGTATACTCACGACCCAATTTAGGATCATGACCGGCACTTAGGAGCAAGTGCCCTTAATTAAGACTCATCGGTATTTTTTAAAAAATCGGACAGAGTTTCCCATGTTTTTGGACTATCCCAAAAATAAACTTGTCTTAGAAATCAACAACCAACATCATAATATCATACCAAACAATTGGCAACCAATCAATCAACCAAAACTAGTCTCCACCATTACTAATCAACCCACTAACAACCAGAAATAATAATTTATCTCCAACTTTGATAATAAAGAACGATACTCAACATAAGACTAATAGCAAAATAATACTCATGACACTAAAAGAATGACTATGGAGCGACTCTAAGAATTCAAAGAAAAGACCATAACAATTGATAAAAATCTCCGGCCACGCGAACAAGTGCGAGGCTCACCAAGAATTCTCAACCTGTGCGCTCTAATTAACGAAATCCTCACCTGCGTCAACTGCTGTCTTTGTAAAAAAAATTAGCGGGGAATGAGTCGCTAGCTCAGTGAGTAATAACACTTAACTACAACCGTTTTATTTGGGGCCAGAAATATGCTAGTATCTCAAAGAGAAAATAACATAAAATGCCCTTTCAGAAATAATAAAAAATTTCAGTCTCATCCAGCTTTTCTTGTAGTAAAATATAATTAACAATTCAGTAATAAGCTCGGTAACCACTGTATAATATCAGTATTCACATTTTGGGAGGTTTCAATGAACGGATAATGTAATCGGTGTAACTGTGAACTTCTTCGCAAGAAGTCAAATATAATGGTAGTCCCTCGAGCGTCCCTACTCGAGGAAAATCGGTAACGGCATGCTAGTTCTGCCTTCCCACTAGCGAGGGCTATAACGGTAATCAATAATTACAAGGTGCACCAGGTCTAACGAACCCGCCGTTAGCTACGAGATCCCTCAATGTCTACTCCCATTTATACTTGTCTCTGTAATCTGTATATACTCGTAGAAACTATTTTAAAATAATATAGGGCATTTCGGTTCTTATCAAATCATATAATTTTCTTTTGATAACAGTAAATTCAAGTAACGGTAAAACAGATCTAGTGACAAGGAAAATATTTAAAATCACGGTATTCATATCAAATAACTATTTCGGTATGATATCGAGTAAGAGACTTGTCCCACATGCAACTTAAAATAATCGGTAAGATTACTACTCACAGTACTCATGCCGAAATTCCAAATGTTTCACCTCGAGCAATTCGTACAACTTCCTCCAATTCAATCTATAATTACATAATATCGGTCTCATGTTAATTTCTATGTTTGGGTTAATTCATAGCTAATTTAGAATACCCAACCCTCGAGGTTCCATATTTGACTCTTAATTCGCCGAATTATATTTACCCACATATGAGTAATTATTAATATATCAACTCCAACCTATTCATATAATTTACCCAGTTAATTTATGGAAAAGTTTCATGAAATTCTCCCAATTTCCTTAACTATATCTTTCAAATTTTTAATCCAACTTCAAAATTATATCTACTCAACAATACAAAGATTATGTATATAAAATTCCATAGTCTTAAAAGAGGAAGAAATACTATAACTACCTGGAGTGTATTGCTGAAACTTAAGGAATTGTATGCCAAAGATGAAACACGGTCTTCAGCGCTAGAGAAACAGCCGAAGTTTCTTCCTTTTATTTTTCTGTTCGATGGTAGGTCTAAGGGTTTTATTTTCTTTAAAACCATCTTTAGCTTCTGTCCGTCCCTTTCTTTCCCTTTTCTTTTAGTGGCTTTGCCCTTCTTTTAGTTAGAGTAGGTTTCTTCCTCTTTCTTTATTTTTTCAATTAATTAGTTATTATTATTATTATTATTTGCTAATAACCAATACACCCTTACTAAAAATAAGGGTATTACATCCTCCCTACCTTATGAAATTTTGTCCCCGAATTTAACTTAAGTACATACATCTAGACTGAAATAAATGGTAATACTTCGCTTGCATATATTTTGCTAGTTCCCAAGTAGCTTCTTCGACTGTATGATTTCGCCATAAGACTTTTACGAACTCAATTTCTTTTGACCGTAGCTTTCTTACTTGCCTACCAACAATAGCCATCTGTTCCTCCTCGTAAGACAACTTCTCATCAAGCGGTATAATAGATGCTTCAATCACCTGAGATGAGTCTGATATATATTTTCTTAGCATTGAGACATGAAACACTGGATGAATAAAGGACAACTCAGGAGGAAGTGCCAAACGATAAGCCACCGCTCCCACTCGGTCTAGTATCTCATACAGTCCTATAAACCTGGGGCTCAACTTGCCTCTTTTCCCAAGCCGCATCACACCTTTCATAGGGGAGACTCGTAGGAACACGTTGTCCCCAATTGTGAACACTAAATATCTTCTTCTCTCATAAGACTTTTGTCAACTTTGAGCTGCAAGCAATCTCTTTCTGATCAACTGGACCTTGTCCATAGCTTCTTGTACGAGGTCGGGTCCCAATAAGTTAGTCTCTCCAGCTTCAAACCATCCGATAGGAGAACGACATCTTCTACCACACAATGCTTTGTACGGTGCCGTTTGAATACTGGACTGGAAGCTATTGTTGTAAGCAAATTCAGCTAAAGGTAGATAAACATCCCAACTACCTCCAAACTCAAGAATGCAAGCTCTCAACATATCCTTCAAGATCTGTATAGTACGTTCAGACTGCCCGTCTATCTGTGGATGAAATGCAGTACTAAGATCTACTTGTATACCCAATGCTTCTTGAAAATATTTCCAAAAGCGTGAGGTAAATTCTGATCCTCTATCAGAGATGATGGATATTGGAACTCTGTGAAGTCGGACAATTTCGTTCATAAATACCTGTGCATACCTGACTCCACCATATGTAGTCTTCACCGGCAAAAAGTGTACTGATTTTGTCAGTCGATCTACAATTACCCATACCAAGTCATAACCTCTAAGGGTTCGTGGTAGCCTGGTGACAAAATCCATAGTAATGCTTTCCCATTTCCACTCTGGAATCTCAATTTGTTGTAGTAGTCCTGTGGGTCGCTGATGCTTAACCTTGACCTGCTGACAAGTCAAACAACTAGAAACAAAGTTAGCAACATCTTTCTTAATACCTTCCCACCAATAAAATTGCTTCAGGTCATGGTACATTTTTGTGGATCCAGGATGTATAATGTATTTAGAGTTGTGGGATTCTTCAAGAATAGCATGTCTCGACCCATCTACGTCTACTACACAAAGCTTGTCACCCATTTGAAGAACACCATCACTTTCAACAGTCATATCCTTGCTTTTACCAGCTAAGACCTCATCTCTGTATTTACATAATCGTTCATCCTCATATTGTGTGGCTTTAATGTGCTCAAGTAATGAAGACTTAGCCTGAGCACAAGCCAACAATGCCTCTGAATTTCCGACACTAAATCTGATACTTGTATTTTCTAGTCTCTGAATATCTTTGGCCAAAAGCTCTTTGCAGGGGCTATATGTGCCAAACTCCCCATAAATTTTCTACTCAATGCATCAGGCACCACATTGGCTTTTCCAGGATGATACAAAATAGAAAAATTATAGTTTTTGAGTAGTTCCATCCAACGACGCTACCGAAGATTTAGATCTCTCTGCTGAAAGATATACTTCAGACTTTTGTGGTCAGTATAAATCTTACAAGTTTCGCTGTGTAGATAATGTCTCCAAATTTTTAGAGCAAATACCACTGCAGCCATCTCCAAATCATGTGTTTGATAGTTTTGC